GTTAATTGCTGAGCTCTTCTTTTGGGGTGCAGCCTTGTAGGGAAGCACATCATGTTTTTCCTGATGACCTGTGCACATAGCTTGTCTGGTCCCACATTTTAACAGACTGCCACCTCTTTGCCAAAAAGATAACCATACTCCTTGCATGCCCTGTTATAAGCAATCCTTCTATTAACATCTCCTCAAATAACCCAACTGTTATGTGTTTTCCACTGAAATTTTGACTGAAATGTATGGTCAGTAATCACTGTTTAAAGTTAGTTGGCAACTGGCTTTCATTGAAAATAATTGTTTGATAATAACAAAATAATCTATTTGTTTTTACCTTGTGCATATTTTCCTTGATAAGCCTAAGGGGAATACACAGTCAGCATTAACCTGAGCCCTTTTACAAGGGTCCGTGGCCACACTTTTTTTTAAAAAAATGAATCTGGATTTATGAGCTGTCTTGGGGAGAGAAAAGCAATTTGGCTAAATCAGACCTTTACCCACCAAATGCAGACATTTTTTGGTAATACAAAGCAAATAAATCTAATTTTCTAATAGTACTGGTTATTAAATTCAAGGCCTTTGCTCTGAACTACATCATCAGCCCTTTTATTTAAAAAAAAAATAAATAAACTTTTTTTGAGGTAGTTCTGAAGTTGCCAAGCCAAGGCTAGGCTTGAACTTGTGAGCCTCCTGTCTCAGCCTCCAAGAATTATCTAGTTTCTTATTAAAATACAATTCTCAGTTACTTTCCCATCATTAGGGCAAAATATCCAACACCCACAATTTAAAGGATGAAAGGTTTGTTTTGGTTCTTAGTTTGATTCTGTTACCATGATGCTGATGGGCCCCAAGAGACCAGGTTCTTCTGCTGTGAACTAACAATTAGACCAATTGTTGCTGGACAGCCTGGTGTCAGGTGATTCTAGGCTCTTTCTATTTTACTCAAAGAATTGGCCAGGAGAACCAATGAACTGCTAAACTCAAACTGTTATTCAAAACAACAGAATGAAAGGAAAGAGTGAAGAAAAGAGAAGGAATGAAGAAAAGAAAAAAGAAGAGCAAGAAGGGATCCCTCCCCAAAGCAGGACAGATCTCTGAAAAAACAGAAAGACGCAGAACAGCAAGATCACAGTAACAGCAGCATTAATGGCTGCCAGCTTTTATTCTCTTTCAGAGCTGGTCTGTCAGAAGCTGCTCTGATGGGGCCCAGGAGGTGGCTCAGTAGAATAAGCTCTTCCCTGACAAGCGCAAGGGCCTGAGTTCAATCCCCAGTTCCGAAAAGAAGAAGGAAGAAGAAGAAAGAAGCTGTTCTGCCTATACATCCTGGTCATGACTGACAGGTCACCTCCATTACAGATAAAGTTATATACTGTTTTCAACATCCTTTCTCGATCTTCATGATTAACAGAAAACATTATCTTGTTTTCCAGCCGTCCTGCCCTGCCCTAATCTCCCACCTCATAGTCGCACACGTACAGAAGAACAGCAAGCAGCATAATTGAAATGATAGTATGTCTCAAGAGAAAGCAGCTCACCCCAGAAAGGGAACTGGCATGAGCCCCAGTGGCACAGAGGACAGTGTCTTTTATTTTTGACCAAGAGAGTCCAAGTCCCTCCCAGGGGGCTGTCCTAGGCTTGTCTGACAGCTCATGCTGTCATGTCTTCTATGTTAACCCACGTCCTTACCCATAATTGACTGTTATAATTGTATTCACAAGATACAACCTATGTGGATGCGAAGATAAAGAGTCTGTCCACAGCTTTAAGTTACTTTCAGACATCTTGAGGTGTTTCTGCACCTGTGCCTTGAGTTGTGGAGCTCCCCAGGAACTGGTTTATGATGACTACATTGACTGTGGCTATTGTTTTGGAGTAAGAGAGACAAGTCCATGGGCACAACTAGGCTCCTTAGAGGTTGATGGCCAGGAGCAGCCCTTAGCCCATGCTTTATAGGATGGCATGGTCTTCCCTGCACTAACAACTATTATAAGCCCACAAGTGACTAGAGCAGAAACAGAATGGCAGAAGGACAAGGCAGATAAAAAGGTACTCAACCCATGGCAGCCAGAGAACAGAGAGACAAGGGAAGAGCCAGAGATGAGAGTGCATTTGCCCAGGTCATGCCTCCAGGGGCCTCAGTCATACTCCAAATACATGGAACTTATTCCTGGGTGATGTTTTAGATCTAATGTGGGGATTTGATCAAGGAGTGAATGGCTAAACTGGGACAAAAGTGCATAGCCTCTCTCTCTGTAAAGAAACTGCAGAGCCAAAGTGCACAGGCTGCGTGAGAACCAAATGGTTACACAACAGAAAGTTGAGAGTAACGAAGCCTGTTGTGTCTGCCCATTGTTCTTCCTCTTTCCCTGAGAAAAACTGCTTAGCCTTGAGGCAACTCCTTGCCCGAACTGCTTTTTTTTTTTCTTACACTGATATTTTAAACAAAAGCCAGAAACTTCTCAGTTTGGAGGATTGTCTTTTCCTGGAAATCTCCTCAATGCTGGGCACTGTCAGATAAACAGCCCTCTGGGTCTCTTGGTGACTGAACTAAGTCTCACCTCCAAGTAATCACTCATCCTCTATACTACCACTGGTCACACGCTGTGACAATGTAAGCTGTAACACCTTGCCATTTCTACATTCTTGCTCTCTACTTTTGTTTTACACTATTGTTTCAAGGATATTTATATAACACTTAGCTAGTGGCATCTTGTAATTCCAGTTATTCAGGAGGCTGAGGCATGAAGATTGAAAGTTTGAAGCCAGCTTAGGCAACTTTAAGAGATCCTGTATCAAAATAAAATTTTTAAAGGGCTGGGAATGTAGCTTGGCACCCCCTAAGTTCAATCCCCCAGAAAAAAAAAGGGAGTGGGGGATGCTTATTAGAGTTAGCATCTACCTCTCAGGAAAAGAACTTGTTTATTTTCTGGATAAGATCATAAAGACAATGTCTTTCTCCAAGGCAAATGTCAGGTAGGCTTGCTTACAGGTCATTATGGAAGAAGGAAGATGTTAGCTTCTCAGGATGATGCAAACCAGCTAATATACGCAGCGTATATGCAGGCCTCTCCATATTACTCCTTGGAAGGCAAAGGCAATAAATGCAACCAGAAGTTCATATCTCCTGCATTCCTGGGAGCTAAAAAGTCCTGTATTCGCTATGCATCACAAACCTATACTAGAAAAATATTTTAAATGCAAAAAATAAAAAGTCCTCTGTCTCTGAGCCAGGTGTCTCATGTCTTCTGCTGCCATCTACAACTGCTAGCTTGTGTGTTTGTCAGCTTTCTATCATGTAAAAAAAAAAAAAAATATATATATATATATATATACATATATGATAATATATAAAGAGAAAAGGTTTGTTTTGCCTCAAGGTTTTAGAGATCCCAGCCCATCACCAGGCACATGTATCATATTTAGGCCTCTGGAAGAGGTGCCACGTAGCAATGATGGAGAGCACAAGGAAGAGCAGCATCCCATAGCCAGCAAAAGGGAGGAAGAAAAAGGAGCTGAGGTCCTACCACTTCCTTCAGGGGCATGCCTCCAGTGACCTAAGCACTTCCCAGTGGCCACCTCCTAATGGCAACACCCTGGAAATGACCGTGCCTCTACACACGGACCTTTGGAGGAACATTCAACATGCAAAGTGTAGTAGCTTGCAAATAATATGAAAGCCCAAGATCGTCCAGTTCCTAACAGTCTAATGACGCCCTCCTCAGAGAGCTAGCACACAAAGTCATGCAGATTTGCTACCACACCTGCTGCCTTTATGTCTGAGTCCTCCTATTGCTCAAGCAACCTGCATTAACTCTGCTGTTTCCCAAAAGCACCTGCAATTACAGATGACAGCCACTGGAGCACTCAAAGGATGGTGGAACCTTTTCTTTTCCAGCGCTGGGGATTGAACTCAGGGCTTCATATGCTAGGAAAGCACTTTCCCATTTCACCTTATCTCTTTTATTTTCTTTTTTTAAGACAGGGGTTCAACCTTGTGATCCTACTCCCTCCACCTCTCAAGTAGCTAGGATCACCAGTTCTGGGGCACATCTTTTACCAGTGTTTTTCTCTGAGCCCCTTCTTAGAGGTGCCTGGGTAGGCTACACATGAAAAATACACTCTTGTACCTGTATTCCTAACATCTTCAGAGTCCTCCCTGTACAGAGTCCTTCTGCTAAAGAAACTTGGACATTTTTACTTCTTTTACTGTAGATCCACTGAGTCAAGGTTTCTGTATCTCTGCAATCAGCCCACCTGCCCCAGTCAGGTTTTTTTCTGAAGAAAAGAGAGTGATCACCACAGCGCCCATGAATCCCAGGTCCAGCATAACCGTGCTCAGCCTTATGGCCCAGTCTGCACGCTGTGTTCAGCCAAGGAGGACCAGCAGCCGTAAGGAGCACAGAAAGCTGGTGGTATTGCCAGCAATGGGCCCTCAGAAGAAAGTACATGCCGTTGGCTACCTGCTCCGACTTTACTTGGATAATAAACACAGGACGCGCCTATGGTCCCCCTTAACCTTCTGGTGTTTTAATTTGGGTCAATTTTTTATTTTATTTTATTTTATTTTATTGGTACATTTTAAATACACAATGATAATATTCACCATAGGGAATTTGTACCTGTACATTGTAACAGGGCCAAGGTCTGGGTTATTTCCAAATGTGGAAATTCATTATTTGGAATTGCTTAAAAATTAAGAAATAAATTTTTTTTTAAAAATTAAGAAATAACTCCTTAAGTGCTAGACTGTGGTAATGCTGATAACTAGGCAGATGTTTCTGCTCCGCTCTCTTCGCATTCCTAGCGGCGTCCACATCTACACCTCGAAGAGAACCCGCCGCAGCTCCTACTCCCTCCACCTTTTTCCTTGCCATAAATCTCGGTTGGTCGGCCGGTGCCCCGCCCCTCGCGGGTGACCAATAAGAGACGGAGAAGCAAGCGGATGGGGCGGGCCCAGGTTGGCGCCGAGGGCGAATCACCTTCCTCAAACAGCAAAGGCGGAAGCGGAAGAGAGCGCACAGTCTGCATTTGGCCTTGGCTGCCGTCTTCGAGGGTGTCCTGTGCAAGGCAGTGATTAAATCCCAGAGCCTTATCTGTCCGCAGAGTGGGCGAAGGACGCCTGCAGGTGTAGGAGGCAGGAGCTCTGTCACCAAAGTAAAGAGAGAGGGAGCTGCGGAGGAGAAGCGCTAGCGGCCGGCCTGGTCAGCGCCGGACTCCTCCAGGCCATGATCTCTGAGTGATCCCCAGGTGAGAGTAGCGGCCCCGCCCCGGGATTCCGCGCCGCAGCGTCGGATCCGTGTGGGTTGAGAAAGAAAGGATGCTGCGACCGCTGCTCCCAGGTAGCACCCCGAGCGGCCGCAGTTACAGCCGCAGGAAGCAAAGCCTGGGCCGGGAAGACGGCTTGGGCTGTTGGTGAAGTCGCCCGCCAGCGCTTTCGCCGTACCCCGCGAGTTGGGGAAACCAGAGAACGGGGTTCCCCATTATAGTCTTCTCCGAGCTCCTTTTCTTAGGTACTAGGAGCTGATTTATGAGGAAACATGCCTTGCACGTGTACTTGGAGGAACTGGAGACAGTGGATTCGACCTTTAGCTGTGGTCATCTACCTGGTTTCCCTAGTCGTTGCGGTCCCCCTGTGCGTGTGGGAATTACAGAAACTGGAGGTAAGAGGGTCCTGTGCAGTCTCCGCTCGTTCTTCTGTCTAAGCTTGGGAAAGAAATAACTCCCGCATCTCAACTCCTGGAACTCAGACGTGGTGTCTGCAGATGCTCTTCTATAAATAAGCCCACTTTTTGGACATAAACCCGTATGTTCTTGTCTGAGGTCTTGAAATGATGTTACAGGTGGAGAGGTGGGACCGGGTGGACAAAATAGTTTGAGTATTTTCATGTAGCAGCCTCAGAGTATTTTGCAGATATGCTCCAATCCCCTGAGAGTTTCTAATGTTATTCCTGAAATCTGAGCCAATGTTTAGACTTAACTGGATCAGATAAACTACCTTGAAACTTACATATTGAATTTTGCAAGCTTTTCAACTGGCTTCTCAAAGTAAAAGATCTAGTTTGATTTTGTTGGTTTTACTTGTGAAATTAGCCTTAACCAAAGCAAAAAGGGTTTCCAAAAAGTCCCTTGTGTATTTTTTATGTCATTTTCATAAGAGCTACAAGCCAGAAAAGGCCAAGATAAATACTTAAGATATGTACACTTAAGATACATACTTTATGAAAACCTGTAATGAACTTTAAACTCTGAGATAATGAAAGCCACTGAGAAGCATTTATTTTACAAGCTCTCTGACAGGTCTCAGGTTGTTTTAGGCCCTTTTTTGTAGAAATGTGTTTTAAATAGTTAAACAGTTATATATGTATTATATATATTATATATATAATAGCCAATATAGTTATTTTTGAAGACAGTATGTTGGGCTGGGTAGATAGCTGAGCGGCATACATGCATACCTGGCAAGCGCAAGGTTGGGAGTTCGATTCCTGATACCACAAATAAAAAAAAAAGGCTGTATAATATTCTGCAACATTAAATGTTTCTGTTAACAAGGAAGGTATCTAGTAATATTTAGGTTTCTTTAGCTACCATGTATCAAGCTAACCTGTTAATCACGAGTGTCTTCCTCTTTTGTCTCCAGGTTCCATAATAAAAGCCATTGTTTTTCACTACAGTCATCAAGGCCCATTGTGATCTGGCACCATTGTCCCTTAGACTTTCTTCAAGTCCTGGGCTTCTGCAACTTGGGCTTGTTCCCTTGTGTGAGGCCTACTGCTTCCTTAGAGCCTTTTCACTTCCCCTTCATGGACTGGCCTTCCTGCAAATAATGTTAATCTCTGTTGTTCAGATCTTTATCAAAATGTCCCTTAGCTACTCTTAATAGTGCAGGCTTCCTCTTCTCAACTCCTCACATTCCTTGCTCTGTTTTATTTTTCTTCCTAAAACTAATCTTCACCTACCGTTATATACTGTATCTGTTCTAGTCTTATCTCCTTCTTCCTGCTCAAAGGACCAGTACTTGAATTAAGATATAAACTTAAGTCCCAATGGTTAGTCAGACTTTGCACATTACATAGTGAGAGTTATAAAAATGTGGTACCTAGCTGGGCACATTGGTGGTGGCACAAACCTGTAATCCCAGCCTTCTAGGAGAATGAGGCAGGCCCTGAGGTCAATCCCAATACCACCACCACCACCAAAAAAAAAGGGTCGGGGGGGACACATACCTTCTTGGAACTTAGCATTAAGAGATAAGTGCAGTGACAAAAAAAGTAAAATAAGATAAAATACTATGGAGAATCTAAAATAGGCCTGAGAAGTTATCAGGGAGGACAGTCTTCTTATGCAAACTCAAAAGACCAGTCTGCTGGCTGTAGCCAACTTAAGTGTAGGTGAAGTGAGGAAGCCCTCCTTGCTGGCTGAGTGAGTCAGTGCCTGATTCATGGTCCAGATCAGGACAGCAGAAGAGAAAGTGGCAGCTGGTGGGAGGTGGCCGAGTTCCTGCTTTGTCCTTTCATGTTGGACAGAGAACTCGCCGGTGTCTCTTCATCTTCTAAGGCCACCAGCCAGCCATATTGGATTAGTCCTGTACACTTAAGACCTTGCTTAACCTGAATTGCTTACTAATGGCATTATTCTAAATAGAATCCATCACATTATGGGTTATAGTTTCAACATAGGAATTGGGGGCACAGTTGTCAGAACAAAGATGCTATTCCAAACCATGAAGATGGATGGGATTATAAAAGAGAAAATGAAATGGCAAAGGACCTAGCACTGATATTTAAAGGTCAAGTAGAAAAATAGGAACTTAGAAAAAAGACAACAGCAGCCAGCTGGAGAGTGAATGCCAGCAGTTTCATGAAGGACACAGTGACCCACACCCATTGCTGCTGCCATCGTACCCATTCACTCATCAATAGCACAGCCACTGGTGGCCCCAGTAATGGTCCCTGGAGAAGTCTGAGGAATGAGTGAATATAGGTAAATAAGAGAAATCAGGAAGAGGATGTTGAATTTTTCACATTTGTTTTGAAAATATTGAGTTAAAGAGCCCAAGAAATGAGTGGCATAATAAATGGAAAGGTATATAAGGCCTCTAGGTTTTCTTGTAATTTGTCTTTAAGTTTAGAGACACTAACTATAGCATGTCCCCAGGATTTAGCTATAGCTGTGATATCATTTAATCTTAAAAATCTGAAAACACAGGAAGTAACCTCATGTTACAGACATGAAAACTGGGGCAGCAATTCTTGGCCGAGTAACATTGTGCTGAGTGCTTTATGCATTCTCTCCTTACCATCGTCCTCCTCATGCACTGAGTTTACATGCAAGTATAGCTAAAACACACTGCCCTTAACACTGCCCAGCAATAGGTGCTCCATGAGAGGTCACTTACTGTTGTCACTTTTTAAAATGATCGGTGTCGGCGCTGTACTGGCTTGGAATTCTTGTTCATTACCAGCTCAGATGCAGTAAAGCTCTCAATTGAACACCTAAGGCAACGTGTCAGGGATGGGCTAAATGTACCTTATGTTTAGGGACATTTGATATGAAAAATGGCTTTCCTTTAAACACTAGAATCACAACACTCACTTGGTGAGAAGTCCATGTAAGCTGAGACGACAGAAAAGAGGTTTATATAGCTCGTGGCTTGCTCTGGGGGCCAGATGCTATTTATTAGGGTGAAAGGTGACCATCTGCACTGTTTAAACATCTCCCTTTCTGTGTGACTTGACTGAGCATGTGTAGTTGATTGCATAGTGCCCTGTAAACCCTTCACCTTGGCCACTGTGCCCCATGGCAGTGCTGCTGTCAAGTGGAGGCCCCAGAAACTGCCATCTCTGATCTCTGCTCAATTGGAATGTTTGGCTGACTTACTCCTAGATGTCTTAAGAGGTTTTTTTTTTCTTCTTTTGTCAAATTACTTCAGAAAAAAATACATACTTCTGAGACTGTGTGGTGGTGCAACCCTGTAATCCCAGTGCTTAGGAGGCTGAAAACAGGAGAATCACTACAAGTCTGATCTACGCAGTGAGACCCTGTAGACCCTGTACTAAAATACATTAAAATCTATCTATATATAGATATAGATATATATGTACTTCTCTCTTCTTCCTCATTTTGTGACTCCAAAGAGATAACTTTAAGAATAATGTTAAAAGGGGCCAGGGAGATAGCTCAGTAGAACAAGCGCTTGCCTGGCAAGCACAAGGTCCCAAGTTCAGTCCCCGGTACTGCAAAAAAAAAAAAAAAAAAAAAAAAAAAAAAGAATAATGCTAATGGGCACTGGCCGTGGTGGCACACACCTTTAATTCTAGCTCTTGGGAGGCTGAAAATAGGAGAATCACTGAGTCTAGTCTGTGTAGTGAGACCCTGTACTAAATACAAAAACAAACAAGCAAAGAATAATGCTAGTGGTGTCTTTGTATCACCAGGCCTCAAAACTGATTAAATTATTGAGATAAATATATATTTAATTATAATGTATTATATTAATTTCTACAGATGTTATACTCTGTTGCATAAATAAATACATAAAATCAATGTCTTATGCATAGCTTTAAAATCAAAACAACTACAAAACTAGTAATTCAAATTAATGATGTTAATGTGGACAGATTCTTTTGGAAACTAAATTGCTATGTCAGAGTGATACTGGATCTGCTGCAAGACTGTTTGAAATTCCACGTGACCATGCTGTGATGCCCCATTCCTCCAGTCTCTTGTTTTATGATTGTTTGAGAGAGAACGTTCTTCCCTTAGCTTGTGCGCATGGTTGGCCTTCATCAGTCACAAGCTCATCATCCTCTTTTAAGTCTACCATCCAGTTTGTTATGGTTTGTATCTTGATGTCTCCCCAAAGCCTCCTGCAGTCCAGGGGCGGGCTTCCAGAGTTTGTGATGGATTCATGGTCCAGTGCTGGGATTATGGGTGTGAGTGCTACGCCTGCCCTGGGGCAGATGGTTTACACACAGTGTGAGAGAGGGAAAGAGGCTTGCTCCTGCTCCTCCTTTTTTACTCTTGTTGCTTTTGCTGTTTTCCACCACTATGAACTGCTGCCCTCTGCCATGTGCCACCCTGCCTTGGAGCCAGCGGAGCATGGACTGAAGCCTCTACAAATGTGAACTAAGTCAACTTTTCCTTTGTGAAGTTTGGGCGTCAGGTATTTTGTCCCAGCAATGGGAGAAAAGTAACCAAGACAGAATTTGGTACCAGAGAAGTAGGGTCATGCTGTGACTATCCCTAGTCATGTGGCTCAAAAGCCTGTGGGAATGGCTTGTGGGAATAGTTTGGAAAGGTTCGGAGATGTCCCCTGAAACTGATGTGTTGGAATGCCTTCGGCTGTTTTGTATGGGAGATTCTGGTCAGAGCGCTGCAGATCAGGAGAGCTGATAGAAATCCTGCCAGTAGAGACCAGGCTCAGGAGGCTTCTGCTGAGAAGGACTACATTGGCTGTTGGACTCCAAATAATCTGTAGTACAGCTTGGCAGAAAGTTTGTCTGCATTTTGCTCCTGTCAGGAGATTTTGCCTGAAACTCAGATTAAGGGCAGCAGACTGATTAATTTGGCAAAAGAAACTTCAAGGCAGTTGAGTGTTGAGGCAGTGGCGTGGCTGTTGTTGGAGGCGTGTAGCCAGATTGATGTTGAGACTCAAAAGCAGAAGAACCCAGCAGGATGACTTAAAATGGGAGTTTGGCTAGAAAGCTCCAGTAAAGCTGTGGACTCCAGACATAGAGCTGAGGAGATCTTCATTGTGGAGGAGCCCGAGCAGAAAAGCCGGCCTGAGGGTGTCACAAGCAGCAGCAGGTCTCCACCCTTTGCAGGCTGAAAACTGCAAAGTCCCAAAGCAGGACACAGTTCTACTTTCTGGCATCCGCATCATCATTAAAAACAAATACAGACACTAAAACTACTTGCATTTCAATTCTTAAAGGTCACGTGTTACTGGAGCAAGTGGAACATGCTACTTTCTTAGATTCTTGTTGAATGTCAGTTTTTTTATGTGAATGTTCTATTTTAAACTAAGGAAGGCAAAAAGACCTGGAAAACGAGTGTCCCTGTACTGTAGTCTGTTTGGAATTTTCACCTCCACATATCTACTTTGCGTGTTTTCTACACATTTTGATGTAGAAAATTGCTGTTTAAAAATACAGTTGTTCTCCATACTTTTGTTTTCTATCTCTTTAATCTTTGGTTTCCCAAGCAGAAAAAAAAAATATTGTTCAAAACTGTGAAGGTAAAATTGTAGACTTCAGTTTTATCTTAATTTTAACTGTGCAGATATTGGTAATACTAAAAGTAAATACGATTTTTCCTTTTTTAAAAAAGTATTCACTCTTTTAGGCAGGATTACAAATTAGTATGAAATTCATTCCCTGAAGTCCTCAGAAAAGAACAGGGTTCAGATGAATTTGTTTTTTACCAGAAATAAGTACCACTTACTTCTGCTGTACTTTAAGATGAGATGGTTCCAAGTGTATTTTTAGAACTCGCTTTTAAAATAAAATATTGATCAGGTATTTACCTAGTAAGGACATTACGGACTTTAAAATGATAAAATCCTAAGTTGATACCTTGCACATAGAAAGTACTATATTCTAATTTGTTTGGGTAGCATTATAATGTACTTACCATTTGAGAGAACTTATGAAAAGAACTTAGAGCAAGAATCCCCAGTAGTCATTAGTGTTCTCATGTGACATTTTCCTTAAATACTGAACTGTAAAAGCCAGGCGTGGAGGAGAAAGCCCATGATGCCAGCTGGGAGGTTGAGGCAGGAGGATCAAAAGTTTGAGCTCAGCCTGTTCAATTTACCAACTTAGCAAAACCCTATCTCAAAGTTTTAAAAAAGGGCTGAGAGTACAGCTGAGGGCAGAGGCGCTGGGGTTCGATTTCCAGTGGGGGTGGGGGGCCTTCACAGTAACATTGGAAGAAACTTAGTAGATTTTTAACATTTTGTGTATGAATGCAAGGGAGTATAAACCATTAAGTCATTTAGATTTAACTTACAGAAGGTCAAGGCATCTATATGTCTTCAAACACAATTTTGAAAAAGGCAAAGAATAAGCTGGGAGCATGTAAAAACTCTTATAGAAGGCTTAATGAGAGAAAATGCTCAAGCCCTTGAGGAAAAAGATGCCCTGCCCTCCAGAAAACACAAATAGACTTCATTTTGAAGATAAAAGTAGCCATTAATCATTTAGAAAATACTGAGCTGGGCATGGTGGCGCACCCCTGTAATCCCAGCGTTTGGGAGCCTGAGGCAAGAGGATCATTGTAAGTTCAAGGCTAGCCTGAGCTACAAAATGAGTTCAAGGCCAGCCTGAACTGCATAGAAAGACCCTGCCTCAAAAGGAGGGGAAAAAAGGAGAAAGAAAATACTGAGCTTCATCTGTAATCATGAGAATTTAAGAAGTAAACATTTTCTTGAGTCCTTAGTTATCGATCGTGATCTCTGCTGTTCTGCTCCTTTGTTTCCCAAGGTTGGAATACATACTAAGGCGTGGTTCATTGCCGGAATCTTTTTGCTGCTGACGATCCCTATCTCGCTGTGGGGAATCCTGCAGCATCTCGTGCATTACACGCAGCCTGAACTGCAGAAGCCAATCATAAGGTTCATCTTCTGTTTTGATTCTACTAACGTTGTGTTGGCTTCTACCTTACACATAACATAATATGTTTAAAATGTTTGCTTTGCTTTCCAAACAGAGTTCTTTGGATGGTGCCCATATACAGCTTAGATAGCGTAAGTATGTTTTATTTGATTTCATGAGCTAAGAATTTGATGATGATGCTTAATGTAGAATGCAGAAGGGCATGCGAGTATGTTATTGACAGTGAGTTACTGGGCTTTTAATTTCTAAAAATTATTCCTGCCGTGCTGGCCCCACCCCGGGGGTGCACTGAGAGGGCGATTGAGACTGGGCATGGTGGCACGTGCCTGTAATCCCAGCACTTGGGAGGCTGTAAACAGGAAGGAGGATCACTACAAGTCCGATCTGCATAGTGAGACCCTGTACACCCTGTACACTCTGCCCTAAATACAAAAATAAATAAAATTTAAAAAATGGTTTATGTGTTTGGTACAGAGTCTCACTATGCAGCTCAGATTCATAGTGATCCTATCTCAGCCTCCCCAGTGCTGGAATTACAGGTGTGTGCCACCACACCCATTTTCGGTGGCCAGCACTGCGTGCTTGGGGTTCCAAGGCCAGCATGGCATACAGTACTAGGGATCGATCCCGGGACCTTGTACTTCCTAGGCAGGCGCTTAGACCGCTGAGCTATTTCCCCAGCCCCTGTGCTTGTGTTTAATGTTGATGAGAAGTTACTATGATAATAGAAAGTGTAAACTACAGAAATTTTAAATTTTCAAAAATCTGTAACTCTATGCTGAATTGTTTACATTTTCAGACTAGTAGCTATTTGCCCTTTAAAGAATGTAATTTTAAATTACAGATTTTATTTTGGTGTCCGCAGGTCTCAGTATCCAAGACCCCCCAGAGAAGCCAGATGCGCTGATGCTCAGCCTCTGTGTCCAGTAGGGAGCATTAGTGGGGGCCTAGCCTCCCGCAGACACACAGTGCTCTCTGTATCATCACTCTGCCCTGGGTGGTCTGCAGTACTTGTAACACAGCCCGTAGCACCTGTGAATGCTGTGGGACGTCACTGGGCCTTATTGAGGGAAGAATGACCCCAGATGTCTGTACCTGCTTAGTACAGATGGAAGGTTTCTCGTTTTTTTGTTGCAAATATTTTTGATTTAGGTTTGGTGGAACCCAGATTGTTGATATGTTTGGTTCCTTGTACATTATAACCCTTCTTATTTATTAAATCTTTCATTTGATCCAAAATATTTTTTAAATTACCCAATGATTAGAGCTACTGCTCGCATGTATTTAGATATAAAGAAAATGTCTTAACATTTTCTATGCTCTTATCAAGAAAATTTTCAGATTGCACTTCAGAACTCAGTTTAGCTTAGCTCATTTTCATTATTTACCCCAAACACAGCTTTTTATTAACTATTTATGATGTTTATTGTTTTGAAAATTAATTCTTTAGAGCTTGGGATGTAGCTCAGTGGTAGAACATGTGCACACACTTACCTGGTAGCCATTAGAATGAGCATTCATTGTATGTGACCAGACATCAAGTAGTTTATTTTGAGCACCATGAATGGGAGTGGTAATTTTGTGTAAGCTTCAACTGTTTTTAACTTCTGTGCTTTTTCATAGTGGGTAGCTTTGAAATATCCCAGGATTGCAATATATGTGGATACCTGCAGAGAATGCTATGAAGCTTATGTCATTTACAACTTTATGATATTCCTTACCAATTATCTAACTAATCGATATCCAAATCTGGTATTAATCCTTGAAGCCAAAGATCCGCAGAAACATTTCCCTCCTTTATGTTGCTGTCCACCATGGGCTATGGGAGAGTAAGTATTCTTTTCTGTTTTAGTTTTATTTAATCAATTCTTTATTATCATTCAGTTCTTTGCAAGGCAGAGTAGGAAGAAGGAAGAAGTGTGAGTCTCTGCCCTGGGGTAGTTCAGTCACCTTTGAAGACTAACAAAGCACATTTTTATTATCCACATGATAGGGTTTTCTACCTTGTTCTTCCAAATATAAAAGCTCAACAATGTACTGCAGGAGAAAACCTCAGAAATCATTTAACCAGCGTCCTTGTACAATTGAGAATCAAGTTCTGCAGATTTTATGCAAATTAACAGGCAAGCTAAAAGAAGATAATCTGGGTGGGAAAACAGCAGATGATACAAAACCAGGGCAGCAAACAGCAGTAAACACTAGTAATGTGTGTGGTTTGCCCTATCACATATTCATGCAGGTAGTTAAAATAAAAAGCCTATGTCATTTAGACCTTTCATTTTGAAATGTAAATCAAGGTTAACATTGCATTTGTTGGACCAGCCAAATAGCTCAGTGGATGAAAGCCTGCAAGATGGCTCAGAGGCCTAGAGTTTGATCCCCAGGCGTGCCATGCCAGCCCACCCCCCAGGACTGGAAAAAAAAGATGATTGCATTTGTTACACATAGGAACCGCTGGGTATGTTTCAGCAGGGAAACAGTAGGAAGATGTAGTAGTCTATTTGTGAAATAAACTGGAAAAGGATGAAATTGGAATATGAAGAATAAAAAACATAAGAAAATATAACTGAAGAACCAATAGAACTTGACCACTGACAGATGGGGAGTTGGGTAATTTATAAGCTAGTAAGGTGGAATCACGAGGAGGCCTAAGAATCAGTTTAGACGTAAACCTGGGGATTGGGCCGGCCAGATAGCTCAGCAGACTAAAGTGCCTGCTTAGGCAGACTCAGACCAGGGTTCAATCTCTGGTTTGCTGTACTGGCCTTGCCCCTGGGGCAAACTCAGAGGAGGATTGAGACTGGGTATGGTGGCGTGTGCCTATAATCCCAGTGCTTGGGAGGCTGAAAAACAGGATGATCACTATGAGTCCAATCTGTAGTGAGACCCTGTAGACCCTATACTAAATACATAAAGAAATAAAATAAACGGGCTGGTAGCAGTGCCCCGCATGGGGCGCAGAACCATTTGTGTGACCTTTACACTGTTCTTACCTGCTTGAGATGAGAAATTACCTGGCTTTTTAGAAGTAATAAGCTGCTTGTGTGTTTATTCAGTAAAAATATTGATCACCTGGGATATGCCAGTATAAAAAAGAGTATGGTATACACAACAAACAGACCTCTAGAACTTAGTTTGATTAGGAGGGTCAGAAGTTAAGGAAGTGCAAGGTTCTGAGTTCAATTCCTAGTATAAAAAAATGGTTAATGAAGATATGAACAGCTACTTATTTCAAAAAGGGCAATGAAGGAGAACTAAGAGGGCATGAGGCCAATAGTAAGGACAGACTCTGTGAATCGGGAGGAAGTACTACACAGGAGGTACTAAACTCGATTCCAAATACAGTGGGATTTGTAGCTAAAGAGTGGATTGAGGAGTCAGTGAATGCAAAATTACTAAGAGGAGACACAAAAGGAGAAACCTTGCTGAACTGACCTAATAGGATTTTTGATAAAAACCAACAGGATTCTTGTTTAGACACCAGGGTGGGGAGTGACAGACTTGATTCAGTGGAGGGGAGCATGTGTGTCAAGGGGGCAGCGGTGACTCAGGATTCGTGAGAGACTGACTGAAAGCAGACTAAGGACAGCACCCAAGCTTGAGGTCTGCTCGAGAAAAGGGCTTGAGCCCGGAACTTATCTGAAGTGTGCTCATCAAAGACCAGTCAAAAGAGAAGATGTTACAGGATGATATAAAAAGAGCTGGTGTCCACATTTTTCAGTAATTATGTATTTTTATGAACTAAATTGGTAGTGGGAGAAATGAGATTGCAGTTGCAGTAACCAACTATGTATGATGGTGGGGGTAGCAGCCTGGCTTTGTTCAGGTCTCTTCTGTTAAAAAAAGAACCTAAAAAAAATAAAATAATATGAGCCGGTGCTTAAACCCATAGCTTCATTATGTTTGCCTTTCTAGAGGATCAGCTGTGACACAGCTCTGTGGTCATTTGGACTTCCCTGATTAGTAATCTGGTTGAGCACCTTTTCATGTTGGTCACTTGTTCTTGCCTTTCAAAGGCAATGCCCAAACCTTGCTAGCAATCTCAGCTACTCTTATGTCTGCTTATATAAGGAGTGATCAAAACATATAGTGTTTAAAGATCTCTTTTTTTTAAATTATTACCATAAAAAATGCATTGCCCTTAATCCTCCTCAAACTGTTCCCCCTTGCTTTGAACACACTTAGGTCATTCTTACCACTTTCTGAGGCAGTTCTTTCTGGAAGTCCTCTTTTGTGAATGTCTTTAGAGGTGCTGTTTATGGCTGCCCTGATGTCCTGAACTGATTCAGAATGTTCATCCTTCACGGTCATTGTGACTTTGGGGAAGAGCCAGAGTTACGTGATGCCTCTGGTCTGCTGAATACGGTGGATGAGGACTCACTGTGATGCCTTTATGAGCCGGTCTTTTTCAATTAGATGATGATCAGCAGTGTTTTGATCACTCCTGATAAAGTCAGGAAAAGGACTTCCAGGACTGCCTCAGAAAGTGGTAAGAAGAATAGATGAGTGGATTTTGAAATGAACAGGAGTATTTTGAGGGAGGTTTATGTAGCTTTTACTATAATGAATTCTTTAAATGTTTACTATATATGTGGGTCCCACCATTTGCACATAGGAAGTCTAACCAGACTCTGGGGTGCTCCCCCCGACCCCATTCACAGAAGCGTGAGCAGCAGGGAGCAGTCACATCACATCTCCAGACAGGAAGTCACGGTGACTGGTGTCGCACAATCCCCCCCAAGGGCCTGCCCACTTCTTAAAGCTTCCCCACCACCCTGGGGACCAGGCCCACCTGCACCCTGGAGGGAGACCTAAAACGCAGCGAGGCGCAGTGCAGCTCTTAGCTCACCAGCTCTGCCACAGGGGACCTGGCTGAGCGTGGGAAGGAGCTACCTCAGTACAGGGAAGGCTCCTGGAGTCCTAGGCAGTTCCAACAGTTTTAGTTGGGCCTAGCAAATGACACCTGAAGTACAGCGTGTCATTGTCTTAGCCTGGACAGAGTCCTTCAACCAGTTCTCCTGATTCAGTACTAAATAGGTGTTTACCTTCAGAGCAGCTTGGTGTGAACTTGAAGGGGGCTTACGCGGTTCTCAGGACTTGTTCTGGCAGCCCTTGGGCGTCTTCTATTTGTCTGTTGTTCCCTATGAATCAGCTATATGCGGAGTGAACCCAACAAGAGAATAAAACCTGTTTTATGTAGGGCTTTTCTTGGTCTTTTCAAAGTACCCAACCAGTGATACTTTTAATATTTAAGCGCCAAAATTAAAAGTAAACTAAATTCTAAATGTAGATAATACTTTCTAAATATGCATTCACACACACACACTCACACAAATTTGTTACTATTTTTGTTCCACAGAAACACAGTTAGTAAGCTTTTTGTCACAGTGACAAAATGCCTGAGGTCAGCAGTGTCATGGGGAAAAGGTTTACCGTGGCTCACAGTTGTAGAGGTTTCAGCCCAGGGCTCTGCTTTGGCTGGTGGCAGCACAACAAATCCTGGTGTGGCACGTGGCCAAAGAGGCCACTTTACCTCATGGCAGCCCGGAAACAGAAGAGGCCAGAGTCCCAGCATTGCCCTTAAGTGTTACTCCCACGCCGTGACCGACTTCCTTCCTCTAGCCTGTCCCTTCGAAGGACTCCGCCACTTCCCAGCAGCGTCACAGCCTGGGAACCCATCCTTCAACATACGGGCCTTTGCGAGACATTTCAGATCCGGAGATCAGGGACCCACTTCCTATGCGGTGCTATCCCGGAACTCAGGACTGCATGAAAAGCGAGATCTTTTGGGTGATACCCTCGTAGAATCATTTTTAAATGATACGTAGGTGACGTGCTGCCATCCGCATCTGTCTCCACTGCCATTCAGGATGACTAAATCGAAGGAGTTCAGTATAAATATGGTATCATTTATCAAAGTGATTTTAATTTGGGGGCTTTGAGGCTGCTCGGGTGCTACTTAAGTAAGGAGTAAATGCTGAGTTCTTGTCCCGCTGCAGGGTGCTGCTGTTCAGGTGCAAGCTGGGTGTGCTGCAGTACACAGTCGTCAGACCAGTCACCACCATCGTGGCTTTGTAAGTACACGGACTTTACGGTCACTGTCTTAAATCCTTGTGCCGTCACGTAGAAACTGAGGAGAAAAACAGTGAACTGTTACTAAAACCACCCAGCCTGCGATGAAAGTCTCTATATAAAAGCCTTCCTCTGTGAGGATAAATGACTGGTGACAGGCAGGGTGGGCAGGATTTACATCCTCTGTCGAGTGCCTTGAAGCTCTTTCAAAAAGGTGCTTTTCAAATGTGAACTTCCACGCAGCTTTGCGTGAAGTCCGCGACCTCGGTGTGACTGCGTGAACGTCCTGGGCGCACAGCTAAGGTCACACTGGGAGCACTCTCCATGTAAAGTCATTTTTCTTTAAACATCAAAAGTTTTAGAACTTGAGGTAAACATGGGATGTTACTAAGTTGTGTGGTAAAACTACTTAAAAATTTAAGAACATCAAGTAATTAAACCAGGTAGATTGTATGTTTTCTTAGTCCTTACACACTCTGTGCTCACAAAGATAGAAAGGTAAAAAAATGAATTATTTCCTTTGAGTAAGGAATTATTTAGCCAACTAAAACTAATACATCTCTTTATCAAGTGTGTTTTGTCTTTAGCTTAGAAACTTGGGTAAGTATCCAACTTAATTCAAACTGAAATTTACTTGAGGGGACTGTTAATACTTACCCCTAAGATATTGTAGAGGGCATACTGAGCTCTACTTATAGATGTTCAACAGCTAACCTTTTCAGAGTCAGACATAGCATTTGAAGTTAATGGTTAATCTTTCTGTTTCAACGTGTTTTATTTTTGTTTTCCTCCAAGTTGGAAGAATAGTCATGGTAACATTTCTAGAAAAATACTTTATTATTTGTGACCAAAGCCAAGTGATTTTGTATACATTCAAATAAAGTGACTTCTAAGTTTAAGTATTGCTGTTGCCACACTTTAAAATACATGACTTACTCATAAAGTTGTCCCATTTTACCATGTTTTATAGAATCTGTGAGCTGCTCGGGATATATGATGAAGGAAATTTTAGCTTCTCAAATGCTTGGACTTACCTGGTTATAATAAATAATATGTCGCAGTTGGTAAGTAAATATTCATCATAATAGTAAGTTGGTCTTTATAGTTAAACATTTTGGGGCTGGGGATTTGGCTCAGTGGTAGAATGCTTGCCTAGCAAGCTGGAAGCCCTGGGTTCAGTCCTCAGCACCAAAAACAAACAAAATAAATAAATAACCCAACCAACCAGCCTACCCACCCCCCCCCATAGTTAAACATTTTTAGGCCAAGAAATTGAAAAACTGTAGACCTTTTTACAGTAAGAAAATACATCGCCATCTTTGGTGTCTGGTGGCTCATACTCTGACCTGTTGACTGTGTCTGTTTATCTGATTCTCACTGCAAAGCTTCGTGGGTGTCTTCAATAGGAGCAGTGCTCCCTAAGTGACAACACAGAGCAAAACACCAACACACTGGGCGTATTCTGTCAGGGAAGCTAATTGGTATACAGCAGCTCAGGTTTAAATAAAAATGGGATAAAATCATCTGCTATCACATAGTTGGAATCAAAGGAAATTAAGACCACAACGGTTCTAGAAACTGAAATGTTGTGATACTTATTTGATCCTGTACATTTAAAGTGCATGCATTTGATTTAAAATATTTGGTTAATGCTTTCAGCAGAATAACTTAAGATGCACTGTATAGTATTAGAGTTTTGTAATAAAAATTAAATGGCCAACTGTCAAGCTTTTCCACATGTTCATCTTGTGTCCAGTAATTCGTTTACCAGGAAGGTATTCTTTGTGTTTTTTTTGAGCTCACTGTATATACTATAGGTTGGCCTTGAACACACTGTTTAGCTGGGGCTGGCCTCCAATTAATAGCAATCTACTTGACTTAGCCTGCCAAGTACTGGGTTTAGTGGGTTTTGTTGTTGTTTTTTAACATTTGGTACAGGATCTCACTATGCAGCTCAGATTCATAGTAATCCTCCTGCTTTCAGCCCCCCCAGTGCTGGGGAATGAACCCTGTCACTGCATTTGCCTATGCAGGTGATTAGTCCACTGAGCTATCTTCCCAGCCCAAATGGCTTTATTCTAAATAAATGATCGAATGTATTTGCTTTGAATATAAAGCCTAATATTTGTAGCAAAAACACGGAAACAACTCACAGCCAAGTGATAGAAGCTAGTTAAATATATTAAAATCATAAGAAATTCAAAAAGAAAAAAAAATACTAAGAATAAGCCAATTTTGCATGTTTTTATCTGGTAACCTAAACAACTAATTTGAAGATGACATGTAATACAGCAACCACTTCTAAATTCTTACTTTAATAAAATTTTATATCCTTTCTCATGGGGTGTGTGTGTGTGTGTGTGTGTGTGTTTCTACTGGCCAAAACATTAGTTCTTTATAATAGTCCTTATAAAATACACAAAACTGTATATTTAGATTGTGGCATCTATTTTAAAGACCAGCTTATGTTTGAGGGTGTAGTTTAGTGTAGAGAGCTTGTCGAGTATACGTCAGATACTGGGTTTGATCTACAGCTCTGTTAAAAAAAAGAAAAAACAACGTATGTGTACAAAGGAATGGTTGATGGGAGTCTGAATAACTTTATCTTCCCTTTGTTGCTTTCATATTATGAAATACTTTAAATGAGTATTTTATTATTGTAATGGAAAAAGTAAACTTTGGGAAAGTGGTTTTGCTATTCAAATATTATGCTGCATTGTTACATTGCATTCTAACATCTTAAACATTTACTTTAAAAAGTAAATTCACCTAGACTAACATACCACCCTGAAGAAAAATTATTGCCTTATTTTCTGATTTCATGGTCATAATTTTATTGAAACCCTACATGTTCAAGGTACTGCATTAATATACATACTGTGTTATATAAAAGACTAATAAGCTAAACTCTTAAAAAAAAAAAACTAACATTTGTTTGTACTTGAAAGACATTACAGATTTATTTTGGCCGGACCAGACCTTTCTTCCATTTATGCCTGTCATTTATTTATTGTTCTCATTATGTAAGTGAGCACGCAGCATCTTCAGGGATGGTGACGTGTGTCCTTTGAGAACTCTCACGTTGTATATGTTCATCTGCAGCAAATGTTAAACGCCTGTTAAGATGAGCTATTCTTGGTTCTGGGAATCAAACTCATGACCTTGCACTTGCCAAGCGGATGCTGTGCTACTGAACTATATTCCTGGCCCTAAAAGTCTTGTTAAACTACAAATAGAATAATAAGGCCTAGAAAAATTTGCCTAAACTATTACTGTGTCAGGTCTGTGGTTTATAGTTTGTTGCTTTACATACTCTTGCTAAAGTTGAAATGTTAACTTCTTTGCAGTTCGCCATGTATTGCCTTGTGTTATTTTACAAAGTACTCAAGGAAGAACTGAGTCCAATCCACCCTGTTGGCAAATTTCTCTGTGTAAAACTGGTGGTTTTTGTTTCTTTTTGGTAAGTGTTGCTTGCCCTTACATGGTCTCATTTTTCTAAATGGCAATAAAACTATTGAATTTTAGGACCATTACTGCGAAAGATGGATTAAACTGTCTCTGCTTACTTGAATTAAGTCCATCCTTTTAGTCCAAGAGTTTCATAAATAATCAGGTGACCTCTGGCAGAGGCATTTAAAAAATTTTAAATAAATGAATTATCTCAACACTGATGTTATCCTTAAAATAAATCATGATCCTGTCATAGTAAATACTATGCAGTTCAGAAGAGAGCTATGATGTAGTGTATTTAACGATACTGGAAATGTTCATCAGGAAATAGTCTTTAAAACAGAAGACATTGATACATGGTTTGGGCTTAGTAAAACAGGCAGATTAGAGGGCATTCTAGAAATAGCCAAAACAGGTACACCAAATTTAACAAAATAGAAGCAATATTAAAAAGAAAGGAAAGGGACGGGGAGATGGCTCAGTGGAATAAATGCTTCCCTGGCAAGCACAAGGGCTTGAGTTCAATCCCCGGTTCCGCCAAAAAAGGAAGGAAGGGAAAATATTCATGAATTCCTATTGACGAATGGAATGGCTAACATTCAGTTAATTATAGTTTCAGGCCTTTGTGAAGAGAAGTGTGATTCTGTTATTTTGAGGTGTTTTGTTTTTTTTTCTCAGAACCAGGGATTGAACTCAGGCCCTTGCACTTGCCAGGCAAGCGCTTATTCTACTGAGCCATCTCCCTGGCCCCGAGGATCTTTTTGAGTAGTATTCTGTTGTATAAATATAACTTGTTAGCCAACCTTTTATATCCACGTCTTGGTTAGTTTTTCACTTTTAGAATAGCATTGATGTGAATGTTCTTACAGGCTTCTGAAAGCTTGTCATTCTGTTGAAATGAGTGTGAGGCTGGCTGTGGTTGCGCACACAACGCTAGCCTCTCCTCTTGGGAGGCTAAGGCCAAAGGACTACAAGTTTGAGGCTGGCCTCAGCCACTTGGCGAGACACTTTCTTAAAAAGTAAAAACAGCCTGGGCATGGAGGTTCTAGGTTCAGTCCCTAGTAACACACACACACAGTTTTTAAAAAAATTAACCAGGATTTGCTTGAAATGCTCAACATGATTTGCTGTCTTGGAGTCAGACCCATTAAGTGTGAACAACATTTGAGAATCTGCCCTTAGATACTGTACAATAATGTGTTAGGCATCATCTATGTATGAACATAACCTGAAATGTAATTCTGTGTACTTTCAAAACAAAGATACATAAACTAAGTACAGATCCAAATCAAAGTTCCTCTGAAAAACTATTAGACTGTTCCTTTGTAAAGCAAGTGAAGGTATTAATGCAGTTTCTTTGGGAATAGGCTGCAGAGGCCACGGTTACACTGGGGTTTTAATTTCTTAAAATTGCTTGCTTATTTCATGCTTGGTACAGATCTGGCCTTTACCTTTTCTCCAACATCTAGGCAGGCAGCAGTCATTGCGTTGCTGGTAAAAGTCGGCGTTATTTCAGAGAAGCACACATGGGAGTGGCAGACAGTGGAAGAGGTGGCCACGGGACTCCAGGTAATCAGGGCGCCATGGAGCTCAGGAGAACGTTCTGCCAGGTGTTCACAAACCTCCACTAACTCGAACAGCGCGCAGGCTGCGGTGCTCCAACTGTTACCCGCACCCTAGAGGTGGGGAAACCAGAAGCCTAGAGCTGGCCAGAGGCAGAGCTAAAACCCGGACTTAGGTCTTCACGCTCCATTTCTCTTTCTGCCTTTTTCCTTAGTCTTTGGGTGGTAGACTGAAACTAGGGTACTTTGCTAAAAATTACTTGATTTACATAATATAAAACATTGAGACTCGGCCCTTTTTTGAAAAGGTAAAAAAATAATTTTGGGAAAGAAAAATGTGAAGAAAGAAACAGCTATTGAAACAGATACTTCTGAAAAAAACTTAAGCCCAAAGATGGCTGCTATTTTTTTTCTGTAGGACTTTATTATCTGTATTGAGATGTTCCTGGCCGCGATTGCTCATCACTACACGTTTTCATACAAACCGTATGTCCAAGAAGCAGAAGAGGGCTCATGCTTTGATTCTTTTCTTGCCATGTGGGATGTTTCGGATATTGCAGATGATATTTCTGAACAAGTAAGGAATGTTGGTGAGTACAGCCATTTAATTCTTCCAAATAATTTGGTTATTTTTTCTCTCCCACTAAGCCATTCATTATGTAAGAAATGAAAAGGCTGTTTAGAGCAATATGTTACAGGCTCCTCAGATAAGGAGAAAATGGTCAAGTGTGGGGAGCTTCTGGTTAGAATGGTTTAAAAAAAAAAAAAAAAAAGCATAGCCTGCCTAATGTGGAAACCTTTTTTATTACTTTAAAGGACGGACAGTCAGGGGACATGCTAGGAAGAAATTTTTTCCAGAGGATCAAGATCAAAATGAACATACAAGCTTACTGTCATCGTCATCACAAGATGCAATTTCCATTGCTTCTTCTATGCCACCTTCTCCCATGGGTTACTACCAAGGATTTGGACACACGGTGACTCCTCAGACTACACATACCATAGCTAATATACCTGGTGAAATACTTAACACTACAGAAGAGAAAAAAGATGCTTCAGATAAGTCTGTGGACTCCTGAACAATGTGCAGGAGCAAACTGCTCTATCCATGTTATTTCATCGCCTGGAATCCCCTGGGGATCAGGATATTGTGCTTGGGACAAGCTGTAATGATGGAAAATTTCAAAAGAAAGACAGGTAAAAAGCCCGGTACAACTAATAGATTTTGTATGCATAAGTAATCAGTCCAGATTTCCTAGACTTAGGCTCGATTCCATAATGTTAGAGTGATGCACACTGAAATGGTAGAAAATAAATCCAACTAAAATGCTTCTGCTATTACATTTCTTTATCAAGAGGATGGACATAAAAAAATGCTTCCTACCACAGCTGCATGACGATAATGCTCCGGACAGAAAGCATAATCCAGATACATGAGCTAGTGGAACTCAATCATGTGCCATATGAGCTTACCTAACATTTCTCTCTTTCTTAACTGGATCCTGGATGTCTTTCAATAAATAAGAGTTTTATCATTATTTTCTGCAACTCTGTCATTTAAACATACAACAAAGCTCTAACAAAAAAAATGAGTACTATTAGAAGTGGCATGAAATACAATCTGGGCTGCAATATCTTAATCATTAAAACAGTAATCAGAAGAAGTATAGTTATTTGAGAGGAAACAGGATTTTTCTAAATTGCAAATCACAAGCCTTAGGATCATGTTTCCCATTTTATTATAAAAATAAAGTGACATAGTATGTTGAAAATAGCACAGATGAGTTGTTTCTCAGAATTTCTGCTTTATTTGTGCACACCTACGTTCATTTCATGTATATCTATATTTATTCAGAGTTTATTCTGTCCACTATTATAAATTAAACATTTCCACAGAAAATAAAACTGGGTAATACATATTTTTAAAAACCCAGAGATTCCACAGAAAAGTGTTAAAACTAGTAAGTGAATTCATTAAACTTGCAAGATACCAAAAACTCGGCATTTTCATAAACAACCTAACAGAAAAAAAACCAAGAAAATAATTCAATATGATAGCATCAAAAAAATGGGAGTAAATTTGAGGTGGTATACTGAAAAACTTAAAAAAAAAAAAAAAAAAAAACCCTGAAAAACTAAACTGATGAAATTGAAGGGAAAAAAAAAAAAAAAAAAAAAATGGAAAGATACCTTGGGCTCCTGAATAGAAATATTAACTGTGAAAACATCCACATGACTCAAAACTACACACAAGTGCAGTGCAATATCTCTACCAAAATATTAGTTGGTGTTCTTGATAAAAATCTTACAATTCAGTCATAACAAATCTAAGGAAAAAACTGGAGATGTCACATCTCCTTGTTCAAAATTACATTATAAACTGAGTGAATGGGCCACAAGCTTGTAGACCCAGCTCACTTAGAAGACTTGAAGTGGGAATCTGTTGAGCCCAGGCATTAAAGACCAACCTGGGCTACATAGTGTGACTTCACCTCAAAAACTGCAATGTTACAAAGAGTAATCAAAGCGCTATGGTAGGGCGTAAAAGCACACATAGTCCAGTGGCAAAAGTCCAGAAATAAAACCAAATATTTATGTGAATGTTTGATGGGGCACCAAGAAGACTCAAGGAGACTGTCTTTTCCCAAAAAAATGCTGTGAGGCCACTCTGTTCTCCATTGCATGACGGCCCAACCTCAATGCTGTATATGAGGTACACTCCTTTTCCGACTTTGAGTTGGCTCAGGCTCACTCTGCAGAGCCTGTATGTTTTCTTACCTTTAATGCAACTGCTACTGTTCACATGCAAAAAGGATGAAACTAAATCCCCTGTACACCAAAAACATGTCAACTCAGTGTAGAACTGCCCTAAATGAAAGACCAGAAACAAACTAGAACTCCCAGAAGACAACAGAGAAGAAAAATTCCTGGACACCAGCCACAAAAACAAATGAGAATAGAGTAAGCCTATTCATCCATTCATGTAAAGATTCAACCAATCCTAGATCAAAAGTACCTGGGGGAATAAAAGGCATCTTGTACTAAACATGTATTTTTCTGGTGATCAGTCCCTAAACAATAGTGTATAATTATTTACAAAATGTGTACTATGTTAGATGTAACTAAAGATAATCTGGATTATGCAAATATTAATCCATAGATCTTCATTTGCAGGGGAAGGTCTGGAACCAATCCCTTACAGACTCTGAGGGAAACTATGCCTTCTACTAAAGTGGTATACCCAACAAACTACAAACTGGGAGAAAACATTTGTAGCAAAATTTGCAAGCAATATTTCAAGGAATTTATATATAAAATTCATAAAGAATTTATACAACTAAGTAATAGAAAAACAATTATGTTAAAAATGGCTAGAGGCATAAAATGGCCAACAAGTATATGAAAACATGTTCAACATTAATCAAGGAGATGCAAATCAAAACCATTAGGAAACTACCTCTCTCACCTGTTAGGATGGTTATTATACAAAGCTGAGAGTTAAGTTGCTGCAAAGGGTGTGGAGAAAAGGGAACTCTGATAGTCATAAAAAATATGAAACTTTCTAAAAGCAAAAATGGACATACACTCGAAAGAGATGAATCACCACCTCATAAAGATGCCTGCACTTCATATACATGCATCACTACTTAAAATAGATAAGGTATGGAAAAATCTAAGCATCCATGGATAAATATATTTAAAAAACTAAAGTGTGTGTGTGTGTGTGTGTGTGTATATATATATATATATATAATGAACTGTTCTTTGAAAAGAATGCAGTCTTCTCATTGGGAAATCAGAATATACAAAGACAAAACAATGGCTGAGAAAGGTTACTGGCAATGGGCAGGAAATAAGTTATAGGTCAGAAAATACAAAACAGACACAGAACAAACAAGTCTAGAGATCTAATGTACAAAATAAGGATGTTATGGCTTGTATCTAAGACATTCACACAAAGCCTCATGCTGTCATAGGTAGGGCTTTCAGAAGTGGCTGATGTGGGTTGTGTGATGCTGGGGTCAACAATGTGATGCTAGGACAGGTGTGAGTGCTGCTATCTGAATGGTGGGTAGCCTGAATAGGAAAGAAACAGATTCAGTCTTTGTTGTTGCTGCCTTCTGCCTTCTTTCTGCCTGCCTGCCTGCCTGCCATGAACTGTTTCCTCTGCCAAATCCTCTGCCATGCCATTCTGCCTTGGAGCCAGCAACTGTGAACTAAAACCTCTACAAACTGTGAGCTAAAGAAATTCCTCTTTTTATTTTAGGTGTAGGGCATTTAAGCTCAGCAATGAGAAAAGACAAAGGATAATAGGTAATGAAATTGTACTGTATGTGAATTACGTTAAATGCTATTTTAGCTGTTCTTACCACAAAAATAAAACTCCACTATCATGTTACCTTAGCTATTACAATCTTTTTCATTACATGTATACTATAACACATGTTATGTGTCTTAAGTATAAACAAAATTTAAGTAAAAGCTGGGCAGTATATGAATATAGACAATGAGAATAGAAGAAATATCTCTGTGGCTTATAACGCATTAACAATACAAAAAGCATGCCAATCATTAATTTCCCTATTGCCAAAGTCTATTAAACTGGGATTTCTTTCCTATTTTGCATCCAAATCAAAAATACTGGCTTACAATTAACCTTTTCTATCAGCCTTTTTTCTTTACCAAAATATCAGGAAGAAAATGCCTCCTAGTGATGTTTTTCTTCCCTCTTTAAGCACACTCTGAGTATTTAAAAGAAGTAGGGTTGGAGTTTACAGGAAAGTATAACCCTAGTCTTTTCTAAGGCCTACTGTTAAAATGTTTCCCAAATACAAGTCAAGATGCCTAAAAAATAATTGTTTTACTTACTGACATATGATCATGAGGTTGATGTTTAAAATTTCTATAAAGAAAACATTTCCTAATTTGAAAACTAATGAAAGCAAGTTTGCAGCAATAATACAAAAATAATACCACTCTAATTTAGGATCTTCTGAATGTACTTTCTTATGTCACTTTTGAAAAAAATGTGATCATTACAAAGAATTAAGATTTTATACATTTGATGATTACAAATAATTCAAACAAGAATTCTGTACTTGAGGCTCTAAATGTGTTTTCGGTAGAAAGCTGCTCTTCACTGTTTGACCGTGATGCTGACATTGCTCTTGTGATGCTGAACACTAAGAACCAGTTCCTCTCCCACTTCAACCTGGATGGGATTCTCTAAAACAACCGCAGCCTGTTTCCAATGGGAGGCTTCACTCGATGTATCCAACCGAATCTCATCATCAAGGTACATATGATACCAAAATGGAATAGCAGTTACTTGTCCAGCTTTACAAACATGGACCTATGGAAATTAAATAGATTTCATCGGGGTAAAAAGAATACACATGGCTAAGTATGTCTTTTTTGGGTTAGTCAATTTTAAGTAAATATTTTAAAAATACATTTAGTTATATAATTCAAATTAATATTAACCTACTTTGTTGTCTATTATTTACTCAAATCATTCTTAATATATTATTCAGAAAAAACTGAATCTTCAAAGGAAGTGGTTAAAAATATATACAGTAATACCACATTTAAGATAATTATTGTGAGTAAGCACAATCATTTTGCATGTTGTCTATACCTTTACTTCTCTGTTGGACGTGTTCAAATATGGAGTCATAAAATCTAATCTTAAGAGTTCCACTGGCTTGCTTAAATGTATACAGGGCAACGAGGACAGGTCCAAAAATACACGTATAGGCACCTAGAAATAGTAAAATTTCTCACTTTTACACATTCTGTATTGTAGTCAGGGATCATCACACTCTTGATCTGTATCTGGCTCAGTATGACAGTGCTCTTTACATCTAAAACCTCACTTACAGTCCCACATCAACCTAGAGTGTAGACATTCCTTGTTTGTTTTGCAGGAAGAATAACGAAGGTTTATGCAGGTTAGAGGGCTTTGCTATAGTTTCAGTTGTACCTCTTACACTAGGATGAAAGCAGAACAAACTTTTACTGAAGCCAAATGGCTCCAAAAAATTATAAACCTAGAATTTGGTTATGAACTAAGAAATAATACTGTCTGACAAAGGTCTCAAATTCAACAAAATAACTTTCATTTGGAAAAGAAGTTTATTTCTGCAAAGTAGGGGTTCATAGCCCTGCTACATCTAAATTCACCAAACAGGAAAGATTACAGAGCCCCCCTTTATGAGTAAGGCGTCAAGAACAGAAGTGAGGGCACAGTAGTGTGATCAAGTAGAGGGCACTGATACAGAGAACAGGAAGTGGTAGATTTAGCCAAGCTAGGGCCTTCCAGAGGTGAAGAGAAATTTACATTTTAAAATATATGTAGAGCTATATGAAAATATAAGCACCTACCAAAAGGAAGATATGAAAAGGGAAGCTCACTGAGTCAAGACATAGATCCCAGCAGAATTAAAGAACTGATGTCAGGATCAAAAGAGACTACAACAAAGATGGGCAGTATTTGGGGGCTATAGAAAGAAATTTAAAATTCTGTCTTCTGGTAAGTATATTCTCTTTACCAAGTCCTGAGAAACACTAAGATTAATTCTAAAACCTTAGCCAGCCCTTTAAAAAATAGCTCCACAGATGATTTGTATTTGAGTAGGTAATGTTCATGAAAGAGCTTACTATCGATACTTTAGATAAAAGGTTTAGATATCACTTAACAGTAGTTTTGTTTTTTTTTATGGCTAGCTCAGCCCACCCTGGGGGCAGTGCTGGCATGGCACATGGTACCAGGGATCAATCCCTGTGATTGCCTAAGCTTGTCTAAACAGGTGCTTTAGAATGCTGGCCTAACAGTTTTCACACACT